TTCAATCATTTGAAGACCGCTCACAAAGTGACATACGATTAAACAATGAAGGAGCATAGAGAAAAACTCTCGACAACACCTGCTTCATCCTCACAGACCTCCATTCACGCTACCCTGTACAACGTGAGTAAATATCCCACCAGCTCCCAGAGACACAAGGAGATAACAAACACGGTAAAGTTTTTCCTCGCCAAAGACCACTGCTCAGTGGTAATCAACACTTTTCAGTTATTTTTTATATTGCAAAATTTGCATTTTGTAAATCAGTATTTGCACACTATTTTATATTATTTTTTGACACTATTTTATATTATTTTTTGACAATCTTTAAAGCCAATATTCAATACATTGTTAAATAAATATCGTCAAATAATCGAGATCTCAATTTCAGTGAAAATAATCGTGATTATTTTTGCCATAATCGAGCAGCATATTAATATGCTCACTCACAGATTTCTGTGCATCCTCAAACGTCTTCTCAATAGCAGAAATCTGACTGTCTCGGTCCTTGTAGATCTCTTCTTCTGTAAACTGCTGTTTGACAGACACTCCAATCCTAAATGCAAAAACAAAAACGTCTCGATTACATGAACACCTAGAACATTCATCTGTACATGTGTAAAATGTAAAGGTGGAGTTCACTGATCCAACTTACTTGACTTCCACTTTCTCATTGGAAACACCGTATCGGTTAAACTCTGTGGAAATGTATTCCGTTTTCCTCATCCATGGGACAACTTTGGCATGCTGCTGCGACCTTATAGGGAAGGGGAAAATTGCTCAAAATAAAAATATTGCTGAATGCATAACACAAAGCAGCCCATTTAGTAGTCATACCTCTTTGAACTGGATGGAGCCTGGATGTCCTCCTCCAACAGTTTTTCATCAGCGGGATCCAACAGAACTGAAAATGTGAAAGATTAACTTAGTCTGTGCAGACATTTAAATAATTCACAATGTAAATTAAGAACAGGATCAACCTTGACAGAGACTTACTGTTGGGATCTATGCGGTATGTGTCTGGGTTGATAAGATCGATGGTGACCCCGAGGTCTGGTTCAGTCAGGAGTTCATGCTTGTGCTGCTTCTCAAGAGAAGTGGCTTTATACTGTACAAACCTGCCAATAAAGAACACCACAGGTTATATATGGGTGTGTGTGTTTAAACATGTTTACTTGATGGGAAGTGAATACTTGCATTCACTCCATTCAGTGGAGTGAAAAATGAATACCTGTGCTGATCAAATGGATAAGTGATGAATTTAGGATCAAAGGGTATGTCAGGCAAGGTGTTGCAGTATTTCACTCTGCAGACAACTCCAGACCTGTCAAGAGCACCAAAGTAAAGAATACACCAATGGTAAGCCAGCAATCTTCACATACAGAAGCAGTTTCTGTACCTGGCAGAAACTAAGTACATACAAATATGTTTTTAATCTACTGACCTCTCTGGGACGGTTCTGTGAGAGGATGGCCTACTGGAAGAAAAAACAGCCATTGGTTAGTAGTAAAGAGTGCACAATGCACAAGCCCTTTACAACACAATTTAATTTTATATTAAGAATCCAAATGTCTTCAACTTGGAAAACAGAGAACCTCTCCTTTTAGGCAAAATAGGGCATTCCTTATGGTGTCTATACATACTTTTCACTGTGGTCTGAAATGTACAGCTTAAACCAATTACAAGCTAACTGTCATTTTATGTGTTTTATTTTATTTTGCAATATTACAAACGAAGGACCAAAAATTCAAAACAAATATTGGCAATGGCAACACTGGAAGGGTTATTTGTGCGTTAACATGTTTAAAAGGAACAAAAGCTACCCTACACATATCGCAAACTTAAAACCACTATCTTTTAGTACTTAATAACTAATCTTTCAGGCGCCTTTTTTTCCGCCACATTGTTGTTAGCATTCTTGTAGCCAACATAAAGTCAGTTTTTGATTTGGCTGAACTTTACATTAGTGCTGCCAAAACAAATAATAATAAATTGTTGACTGGCACAAACTACTGACAGTAAGCTTATGGAAATCCCTACGCTGATTTCTGTAAGCTTCTCGTAAATTAGCCGAACGTTGAGCTTGATTGTTTGTTTGTTTGCTAACACTTCCGACTAATGCTACACACATCACAAAAGCACCCTGGGACCCGCTGACCGCTTGTTTCTGCATTACACTTAACTCCGTGTCGTAAACTTACACAAAACGTGCAGAAACCACTCAGGTAAGCGAACTTGTAAAGGCACTGTTGAACGTACCTGTGGCCGTCTTCTCGTTGAGATTGTGTCTGAATCGTTGGAGCCATGTTTATGAAAAAACGCTTAAAATTAAAAACAAAACCGTTTGTTTGCACAAATAACCAGCACAAATACGTCCGATGTCAACAAAAAACATTAACTCCTATCGAGTTCATGGCCTGAGTGCGTTTTCATCTTTTATTAGCAGGATGGAATGATGACCCGGTAGTGTATCCACATCTCCGGTTCTTAAGTGGACTTTCTTTATTGTGAGCGCCTCCTAGTGTTCTGGAATTTGAAGTACTTGAATAACCCGTTGTCCTTTTTTCAAATGTTTTTTTTTTCACAAGAAAAGGGGACATGGGCGATTTTTGAAACCCAGTATTTGGTATGACCATCTTTATTCTTCAACACAACCTAAACTCTGTTAGGCAAGCTTTCCTATAAGTAGTTTTCAGAAATCGGCTTCAGGTTTCTAAGGACATTCAAAGCTCTTTGAATGCTGACTGGCTTTTTTTCTGTTCATTGTTGAAATGATCCAGCACTGCTTGAATAGCATTAAGGTGTATGCTCTAGGGAAGCCAGTCCATGAATAATAAT